AAATAAACTCAAATAAATATATTAAGCTAACCAAAAAGGATCTGTTTTGCTTTTGTTGGTCCCGTAATATTTAAATACATATTAACAAAGAAATGACTTTGCATGATGGCTAATAATAGGCCTTTTCTTTTGTAAGCATGTCGCAAAAGAACTAATAAATTTTAACACTACTTTTGTTGCTAACTCTGGACAAAATGACAAAATGGAAATTTTGTTACGCTTATATATAGAAAACACGTAATAAAATTTAAAGTTAAAATTTCGAAAATGAATAATAATTCTTTGCACCTCTTGGTGAGAATATTTTTTTTACATGATTGTGAATAAAGTATTTGTTACGAACAATGACGACACGAAATACTAGGAATTAACGAAAGCATTCGTTGACAGTTAACTAAAAATTTCGTAAGTACTTCCAAAAATCCTTCACAATAGACGAACTTTTAGTCTTGGCAACCATGCGAATAATGGATTTCATATTGTTCTAATCAGCTGAGGTTCTTATTGGAATGTATTGGGCTCCGTTAGTAACGTTAACTCTGACATTAGCTATTACAGCTACATTTATATACGGTTATTCTCAATCTATAGAAAAGATGAAAATGAATAGCTTTTTTTTTGTGTTAGCAATTTTTTTTTATTATTTATTTTTGGTTAGACTTGTTAACTTCGTCTGAATCATATTTTTGAGATTACATTAAATACTTTTATTTCGTCCTCTTTAACAAAACCAGTGTCATAACGTTGTAACTTTCCTCTTTTGCAAACTTCTTTATTGACTTTATTTTTATCAAATATTCGTATTTACTTTTTAACACACTGGATCACGAGATACTATAATGTCGGCACTATTAAATTCTTCATCTAGTTTTCCAAATTTTTATACCTTTTTGCAGAAATACCCCATTCGTTTATTATATTTTATAATATCTCTATGTTCCTGAATTAAGTTAATTAAATTAATTAATTTAATTAATTAATTATTTAATTTAACGATTCTGTCATAAATATTGGGTGTGTTCAGTGAAGGTTTCAAAACAAATTCAGTTAACTACTAACTACAGTTTACAGTTAACCACAGTTTAGTAAAGAAACGAAAATGGAGTTATTTTAGTGTGTTACATATTTGAAAATATTAATCACAGCTTTTACATGCACACATATATAATGATATAGATTTACAGTTAAAAAATTCTGACTCAATACAGTCAAACTTCCATAACTCGAATTTTCTATAACTCGGACTAAATAGAATTCAACAAGGTTTAGTGAGGTTTAGATACAAACACAAACAAATTCTTTAACTCGAAATCTCCATAAGTCGAACATCATCTTTGAAAATTGGTACTTCGAGTTATAGAAGTTGACTGTATTTATAATCACTTAAAACTTAGTTTGTACTGATAAAATAATTATATAGCATTTTTAATACTAACGTTTGACCTAATTTAAAGTGTTCCATAATGAAATAGGACAACAAATAAAAAAGTATTTCTTATAAAAAGATCTAAATAAATATCCATTTTTGTTTGAGTCTATTGTTTACATTTGTGATAATACTATTAGCTGTAGTTTTATCACTTGATTTGTGAAATGGGTTCCTTTCGCCATGAACACTACTTTTACATTTAATTAAAAAGAAAAAGAGACGTTGTGTATCAGCTATAAGACATATAGCTTCTATATAGCATATAGAGTCTATTGTTTACATTTGTGATAACACTATTAGCTGTAGTTTTATCACCTGATTTGTGAAATGGGTTCTTTTCGCCATGAACACTACTTTTACACTTAATTAAAAAGAAAAAGAGACGTTGTGTATCAGCTATAAGACATATAGCTTCAAGATATTACTCATTTTCTTCGCTTGAATTTTGTTATTTAAATATTCTGAGCAATTTTCTTGTTAAACTCATTTTTTCCGAGAGTTTCTTTGTGTTTTTATCTCAGATAAAACCTCAAATAAAAGTAAACAAATTGATTTCCATTTTGATTTTATAAATCCGTTGTCATTCAAGATCAACAGTTCACTTGTTTAAAGTAAATTCAATGAAACAAATAAATTTTTTAATAAAAATATTTTATTAGTGAAAAAACAGTAAACGTTCACACAAAATTAATGTTAAAATTGAAATGAATTTAAAATATATCGTTCTTTATTGACTATATGTTCTACAAAAAAGTTTTCTTTGAAGTAAACTGAATTTTATATAAACTATTGATATATTAACTGGAATATTGAAAAATAAATCGATTGAGATGGCGCCATTTTATAAGCGGATATGCAGAAATCTATCACGACGATACAAAGAGGTAGTTAAATATGCATATCTGAAATGAATATGAAAACAAGTTTCGTAAATAATAATAAGTTTTTATAATGATTTTATTTTTAATTATTAAAAGACTGTGAAATGACATTTTCCACTCACAATGGTGTTTAATTAATTATTCAGAAGTTGTACATATCCAACAATGTTGCGTTGCTTTCAATCTGGATAACGTATATTTATTTTTTTTTTTGTGTTTTTTTTTTACATATAATAATAGAGATTTTAAGCCTTTTATGAGTTGTGACCTAAAGTGAATAAATATTTTTTTGACTTGAAACTGATATCAAGAATCCCTAATGGGAGAAAATTTTTCACGAAGAAACGACTCTAATATAAATATTATTATTTCGTTTTTAATAAGAGACAGATGTGGTAGTTTTTACTAAATTAAAATTAATGTATGATATTTTAATAGAAATTTTTATTAATTTTCATCTTCCATATTCTGCTATATTAATATTTTAATATTTCAATTAAATTTTTCCACATTACTAAAATAAATTAAATAAATCATAAAAAAACATAAAAAACCTTATTCTCAAATATAAAAGAGTACTTGTTGCAATCATAAAAATATATATTAAACTACAATATGAAAATATTTATTTTTCTTATTAAAAATGAACTCTGTGAAGGCAAATTTATTTGAAGGTCGCGCAATTATTTTTTTGCAGTTAATGACGGCTATGCCTTTGAGCTGCGATACGTGCGGAAATTTGAATAGTTCAACTTTCCCTAATTAGTCGTGTTAAATGATAATATTAAATATCAAGAACCATAATATATATAAAATAAAATTTCATTGGAATCAGTTCCATTATGATTTCTGAGGCGTTGCCATTTGACATTGTGTTTTGGTAAAGTTTGCTATAAGGAAAAACTATTAGAATAGGTGATGCGTAGACTGATATATCGACTAGTAACCCAATAGAAAAACTTTTTCTCTGAATAATGATTTTCACAAAAACTTGACGCTAAATAGCGGCGTTCTAGAAATTGTAATCGGTTTGATTGATTAATTAATCAATTATATTTATTGGTTTAATTGATCAATTATATTAATTATAAAAATATATACATTTTAAAATAAAATATAAATTATATGTTAACTCCACAAAGTGAAATCAAAATTTTTTAACCTGTATAGTCATAGGTTATATTATCAATAGATGGTTTACATTATCTTTTTTATCTCTTTAATTTTTATTACAGTTAATATTAAAAATTGACAATCGTTTCATATAATTTTCTGTTTTATTGAATAAAACTAATTTGCTGAATTTATGTCGTTAAAGCTAACAACACCCTGTAATACATTTAAAATTAAAAAAAAGTGCTTTGAATGTGTGCTATATTATTAAGAATGCTTGACTGTAATAGTCGAAGTAAACATTAACTTTGTTTATGCTATTATTTATTAATAACTTTGGTCATTAAGTTATTATTTATTTATCAAATTGATCTGCATTATTTTATTACATCTTGTTTATTCAGATGGTTCCTGAATGATTACAAATTAGTATATCAAGAAATAAGCAAATAGACCAAACCACATAGGCAGACAAACATTCAGATAATTGCAGGATAATGTGTGGTCTCGCATTATGATCTAAAAATAAATATAGTTTTTATTGTCCATTGTGTCTCCAAATATCCTGATAAATCAAGCAAATCATTTATTTACATTATGTGATAATACATCAATAAATGAATTAGTAAAATATGATTTGCCATAGTTATGAAATTAATTTATAAAGAGGTTTTTAGAACAGAAGTGAACTACAACACCAAAAATTTAGTAAAATTAAACTATATGTATTACCATTAAATGTCAAAATAATATTTGCATTAGTGCTTTGAAGTGTTGGAGTATACTTCAGTTAGATTTGGAATTCGACCTGCAGCATTTGATCCATATGTTTAAATCTGTATTACTTTTCATTTCTTTTCTGTCGTATTTTGCAAAAATATACAGAGCACCAAATGCTTGAGGACTATATGGTGTTCAAACATATTTGAACCGAATGTTGTAATACCAGCATATTCGAAATTTAAAATGTTTGAAGCTTCGACCAGCTTGAATAATTCTTCGGCTTTGATGAACTTAACTTGCTAAATAATAAGCCCTTCTAATCTCCCCTTTGTCGTTAACTGAAATGGGATTGTAGCCGCTGAACGTGGGTGCTATCTTTCACAATCATTGCTAAGAGATGGTTTTATTGGGTTTAAGTCTCATCAGCATGGATAATATTTGAAGCACTAATTTCGGTCATTAATAAATTTTTAAGATCACAATGTCATAACTCTCATTACACTTACATATACGTATAAATTATTATTTTCCTTTACGTGATTAAATTGTGAAACTTGTTAATTATTATATTATATGACAAGAAAACAATACATATTTAGGGTAATAGAATACTAGCGTCTTTTTTTCGTAGCTACTCATTGGGTAGAAGCCAGACTATCGGCTGATTAGGAACCTAAAGTTAGCTACAGTATTGAAATGTGAGACTTTTGTTATATATACAAATTTTCAATAATATTGTATTGATTTGTCATTTTATTATATTTATTATTATTTAATTTTAATTAATTGGGTCAGTTGGTTACGGTGCGCTGACTCTGAGCTGTAAATATGGCAGGGCACGCGTTCGATTCCTTGTACTTGCAGTCTCAAAAAATTATTTACGAATAATTAAATACAAGAATTATTTCCAAGACCACTGATGATGGGTATTTGTCAATACTAGAAACAACTGTATGATCAGCTAAAAATTCAATTAATTAAAATAATATAAAATGAATTTTTGTTGCTATTTATTTAATTTCTAAAAGAGATTTAAGCTCTGATTAGGATCCCTGCTTGGCTTAATAAAGCCCCATATATTGTAATATGAATATGAAATTAAAGCTTATTTCTTATATCAAAATTTAAAAAAAATTTGACTAAATGCAGCATTTAATATCTTTTTTACGTAAAGTGCCGTATGATATTTTATGATATAAATATATCTATGCAGAATACTAGGAATAATATTTTAGCCTTTCATTCTTGTGCAAGCCACGAGCAATGGTAACAAATTGTATAGAAATACTTCTTTTAATTGTAAATAATAATGCCAATCATACTAGATTTATATAATGTGTCTTATGCAGCTAGTCTATGTATCTTTTTATCTTTTGTGCCACTTATACAATTTATTGCATTTGTATATAGGTATGTATGGTATGTACCGCATGTACTATATAATTGTATAATATATACAAAGAAATGCATATTTTTACATTGGTGCGTTTATCTTACGTGCTCCATTCCTCGAATGCATTGACCCCAATAACTAAAAATAAAAACGCACTCGGAAATTTCCATGAAAATACATGCAGAAATTCAAAATAGTTTTTTATTGCCTTGCATTTGCTTCGGTCTGTGGATATTATGCAAAATGTGTGGGAATTTTAAATATAAGTTGTTAATTATTTTTTACTAATAATAAAACTAGAAGCAAAACTATTCTCATAGCTAATAATAAATTTAAAAATTTATTTTTAAAAATTTATTTCACAAATTTAATTTTTTTATTAAATTGAAATAAGCCTCTTTCATGTAAATGAGCTTTTGTCTTTCAATTGTAACACCCACTGGTCCTCACCGGTTCGTAAAATATCAGATTTTATTATTTAACGTTATTATTTTTAATGTTGGCACCGGTTAAAAAATACATTGAACATTGTAGCCTTCTAATTTTTTTTTTCAATCCAGTCAATATTTCGATATTACCAACCTTTGCCTTTAAGTATTGAGTATATAGTCGAGTGAGTATATAGTGAGTATATTCTGTCAAGTCAAATTATTATAATTGATTTTCGAAATTTATGTCTTTCTGAGACGGCGTAATATTTAACGATTGTGTAGACCAGTGGTTCCCAACTTTTTTTTTGACCAAGGTCCACAGTTTTTACTAGGGACCACAAAGTTTAAGAGTAGTAAACTGTATGATTATTTTAACACGCCTTATGCATCTTTGCTATAATGAATTGTACAATAGAGTCCAGAGGTACATTATAGAGACTATCAAATAGGTATATTATTATTTGGACAACCTGCAAGTTATTTATTCATACCTGTTATTTACTTAAATATATTATATGGAAAAAAATATTGAAAAATTACTTAAAAACTGAAATAAATTCAAAAATCTTATGTACAATATTTGATCAGCATTGGCTAGTTATCAAAAATATGAACGACAATTGACTCTAGATGATCACATTGATAGCCTTGATTACCTTTAAGGCCTCGTATCGTTATCATTGATCATACGATTGATATCAAATTGATGTGATCTACTTAAGTCCGGTTTAAGATATATAAGTATATTTCTAAGCTTTTAAAATACACGAAGAAAATGTTTTTCTTAAGCTCCCTCCTAGGCTACGTGCCTGACCATATTGCTTTACATGTGAATATATTTTCCATAAAATAAAATATATGATTTAATAATATAAAGTTATTAAATCTTTTTGTGAGGCATAAAGTATCTGTTAATGATTTAATTCGAGCTCTCTTCAGGAGAGTATGCAAAGATTAGACACCATGGATAAACTGTATTTCTTAAGTCGCATTCTGCTGCTCTCCTCTGAATCATACCTTTCGAGCAAAATTGCATATTTCCGAGAATGAGTTTTATCTAGCTCCATTTACACTTTCATATTTCTGCTGTGCGTCTAATATGACCCATAGACCGATATTGGATTTTTTCTAAGGCCACTAGTTGCACAAGATAGCCTAGAGATTGGTTTATGAAATATTGTACTTCAGACTAAATTGCAGTTGTACGGATTCATGCTATAGAAAGTTGTGTTTTTTCTGCTTATAAGAAGAGTAAAAGTAGGTTGTATGCATTCTCCATCAAAATTCATTGCATTTAAATGTTTAATGCATTGTTAAAATATATAATGAAATCACTCCCAAAAGTTTTGCTAATTGACAGCTTTAAGTTAATATAACGCATATATAAATGCTTGATTTGAAAAAATTTCATCAATAAACTCTTTAGGGTATAATGCTCAAGAATTTATGAATATTTTATTATATACGTATTTTTGATTTGGAAATATAAGAAACAAATTTTAGAAATATTTTGTATCTTCAAAATATTGCTTACATTTTATAAAATCCTGCAGTAGAAAATTCAAATTAAACAAAAATACAAAAGTATTTATTAAAGTGTGAAATGATATCAAACAATCATTGCTGATTAAATTGTTTTTAATTTTTTTGTACTTTTTCATTGAAACAATTTTAGAAATCCCAATCCCAACAATATAAGATTATTTTTAAAATATGCAGTTAGAAAACAATATTGTTATGATTTTCAAAATTTTAATGAAAAAAATAGGGATTAAATTTTATTGGTGAAAATAATTTAAAGTACATATTTTGATTGTAATAATATTAATTTACAGTGATTATCAAACAAACATTTAACGTTATATATTTACTCATATTAATTTTCAAAACATTGCGTTAATTTAAATTACTTTCTCAAAATTTCGTTAAGCCATCACTAAGTCTAGACAATACCGTGGAAACAGTGCTTATCAAAAACGAAGGCGAATTCGTTAGTGTTGAGCAGGGAAAAGATTTGAATGCGATCACTGGGTTATCTGCGCGGAAACGAGATTCACAACAATTACAGAATGCACCTCATCTTCATCATCTACAACAACCGGAACAACAACAGCGGCAAAAACGCGATGAAAACATAAGGCAGCTTTTGGATGTAACAAATACTTTAACGTTTGAAGAACTACGCGATTTTGAAATGCGGTAAGTTGGATGTTGGATCCTCTTAGAATAATATAATCTCTATTGAAGATAAACATTCTTTTATTATTAAAAGAGGTTATTAAGTTATCAGCTTTTTATTGCTCCCGTAACTCCCATTGTTTAATTTGCTTATGATGTGCACAAAATCAAGGAAAATCAAAATTATATATAAATGGGAAATCAGTGATCACATATTAAATATTTCCCCAAATAAGAAAAGTGTGGTTGACTAAGATGAATATTATCCGCCCATTATTATTATTATGTATGTATATGGCTAATCTCTCACTTTACTAAATTAACATATTTATTGTCAAATCTTATTGTATTAATTAGTTGAATATAGTAGGAGATGTTTAATAATGTTTAGAATTTACAGAGAATTTGGCATAAGCCTATATATTCAATACTCCGATCATATTTAAGCAAACTTACTGGTGTCTTAGTTCTTTAGTCAGACTATAGCTAAAGTAACTATAGTTATATATGGTATCTATAATTATATATATGTAGTTTTTTATATGTAGGTTGGTTATAACCTCATAGTAATACATTTTTATGACATCTTGTAATCTATTACCATTTTGTCGAGTACGATGTCTTTCCAACTAATATATTACTGAAGTATTTGCATCTATTTCATAATAGCAATTTAAAAATAATTCAATTAATTCAAGTTTTTAACATTGAAAATATTCTAAATATTTTAAAGTTTTCTTCCTTACCTTTCCTGCATTTTGGCACTTTTATTCCGCAATTAATACTTTGCTGCTAGCATTATCATTGCTCTGTCATTACTGGTTTTCTTATTTTCTTATTATTTTGTAATTGTTTCTTTCTCTTTTTACACTAATATAATTATATAAAAACACATTCATTTGAGTTAAGAAGTACTTAAACATTATTAGTTTTCGTAAACATACAAATATATAAATTATGTACAAAAAATAAACAAAAAATTTGCAACAACAAGGATGTTGTTTTGAATACTAGTTTGCAGCAACAAAATTAATTAAATGGATAAATTGAATGAATTAATTTAATGAAGTAAATAATTGGAATCAATGATTAAAAATTGAAAATTTGCAAGTTAATTACTATTTGTCAATATTTGTATAAAGATTTCATCAACAGGAAAATAAGTCCATTTAGTGATGTGCACATTTTCAATGTTTGATTTAATTACTTTAGGTATTTTATTTTGACAGTTTAATAAAAATCAACATATTATTGTAGAGCTTATATTATAGTTAATACTATTTTCTTACTTCGTTATGAGGCTTAATATTACATACTTCTAAAACTTTTCATGTTTGATAAACTTTATTTTTAAAAATATTTATTAGGCCTAAATATATTAATATTTATGTCAGTATATTGTATTCATAAATAACTACTATAAATATCGACATTTATTTTATTAAAAAATATCCTTAGAGGTCAAAAATTCTTTATTTACTAAAAAAAAAAAAATCTATTCTTTCTGTCTCTCTCTTGAAATGTGCAATGAGTGTACGGATAAACCGAATTATCAGTAATGCACTATCTCCAATGTCAGAAATTATTGTTAATGTGAAACGTGGACTATTAATTTTCTCAAAGTCTCATATTTTTAAATACGACCAGTTATTAGTTGCATTATTCGAAAATTGTCTTCACAATCGAAAAACAAAAAGTCTTTACTTTTTCGAAAATTGTCTTTACCAGTATTAATTTATGACAAATAAATCGGTCATTTCGTATTTTGTGTGTCCAAAGAATTCTGGGTTTGTAACACACATACATATGTATGTCAATTTTCTTAACGAAAATTTCTACGGCCTTTATTCTACGGCCTGTTTTCTCCGGCTTGCTAGGCTACACAAATATTTAAAAATATATAACTTAAATACATTGAGTAGAAGGGGATTCTGTCCAAATTCTTCCTATGTCACTGGTTATTGGAAAGTACATAACAAAAATGATAATAAAACCTTTTCAACTGAAGATTAATTTGAATTTAACGTACGAGTATGTATGTAAGTAATCCACTGATTATACACACCCTAATGAAGAGAACTTATGGAGTCTGTTAATGACAAGTTTTAAGTGATTTTGTGCTAAAGTTATATGACGATAATAATGATGATGATACTGTTGTTTAGTTATGCTAAATATGTTGTTGTTTTTGATGAGAGGATACTTCATCAAGTTTGCACAATTTCGAATCTTTACGCATCGTTCACAAAACGTTGGTATTAATTATATTTTGCACCACTTAATGAAGTGTGTAAATAACATATACATTGTGATGTTTATAGACTCGCTGACCAATAAGTACGGAAATATATAAGGGGGCGCAATGTATGTGAAGTGAATGTACTCATATAACAACATATTGTAAGTATGTTATTGGATATGTTGTGTAAGTACCCTTGAATGCATGGGTACGTTTGTGTTTATTTCATTTAATTTACAAATAAAAGTCACAACTAATAAAAAATGGTTTAATATACTTAATGGAATGATTCTATTTTAGTTGTAGTAAATTAAATATAATTGATTTATATATTCAATAGGAAAAACGCTTTCTTTAAGTTGTCCAACAGTTAAAACTGGTTAATCCATTTCGCTAATTAATTTTATTAATTAATTTTGCTAATCACTAGTTGTGTACTTATGAGTACTGTCAAAAAAATGTTCTATTAGTTTAATATTGATTCAATTCATGGGTTTATAAGGGATTTGCAATAGTTTTATTAGTTTTATTGAACGCAAACGTGCTTAACAATATACTTTGTCTTCTAAGGTTACGAAATAAATTATATGTGGAAGATGATTTTTTTTTTGCTTTGTATAATAATTCCGGATACTATTTACACAGAATGTATATAAAGCCATATATTAATCTATGAAATTTGACTTCTACATAAATATTTAAAAAAAATTCTGTTTACAGTTATGGTTCTCCACATCATAGTCGTTCCCAATCTGTTAAAACACCTGGTAGCCGTGCATCAGGTCGACCTAATCAATTATGCTTACCTCAACAGCGATCACGGTATGAATTTATTTCTTTAAGAAGATAAATTATAAAATATTTAACATATAAATCTCAATTTTAGTGTTGCTTCTATGCCGAATACTGGTGTAGAGGAAGAATATTATAGATTAAGACATTTTTCAATAACAGGTAAAGGCGTAGTTAATCGTGGCGATTCACTAAAAAGTCGCCGTAGTCGTTCCAATAACAGTGTTGCCAGCTCAAATTCAAGGTAGGTTTTAAAATGAATTACATTTTTATTTATGAAAACAAAATATTCTTAAATTTAGCAGCACTGAATATCTCACTACCACGCAAATACCAGCACCAAATTCTGCGCGCACTTCTGCACCTTGTAGTTTGGCATCAAGTCGTGAGAGCAGCACATCCAATCCAGGTGGCGGTCCGTATAGGTAATATGGCGATATATGTTAATCTTTTTCTTGTTATTAAATTAAAACTATTTTTGAAGAGTACTTATGTTGGGCGGACCTGCTGTGGGAAAGAGTTCTCTAGTTTCTCAATTTATGACTTCCGAGTATTTACATGCATATGATACCAGCATTGGTAAGTGGTAGAAACTGACCATATATATATATTATTTGTATACGTTATGACTAATTATAAGTAAATCTACATGTGCGTGACTAATGTGTTTCGTTTTTATGTAGAAATTTTTATTTGTTTAAAAAACAATAAGCTTTGGACAATCTTTTAATGCGATTAAACACGATGTCCTAAGATGTATTCTGATGTACTAATATTAGTTTTAACATAGCTTTATAATGACAAACTTACTTACAGCTTAGTTTTGGGCAAAGGGCACGAAATACGATTTGCAGGACATATTTTATGCTTAAATATTTTAAGCAAATTATCTCACTATGTTACAAGTTGATATAGCTTAGTTCTGTGGATATCGGGCTTCAAAGTTGTAAATTTTTATATTGATAACTAGTCAGTGGTGAAAGGCACGTCTAGCAGCTGCTAATCGTCGGTTTTGTAATGCAACAAATTGATAACCCAATTCAATTTTAAGCCCTGATTTTTTAATGACCAAGTTATATAGTAGAAATGGATTCTCAGAATATCGGATTTGAATAAAATACGCCCATTAATCGTTGCGCTTCGAAAATCTTAATTATCCAACTATGTTATAAGTTGATATTGCTTAGTTCTCTAGATATCGGGCTTCAAAGTTATAAACTTTTTATATTGATAACCCAGTGGTCAATGGCTTGTCCAACTGCTCTTATCGTCGGTGTTGCAATGTACAAATTTGATAACCCAATACAATTTTAAGCCCTGATATTTTAATGACCAAGTTATATTGGCATTAAGTGTAGTAGAAAAGACTGCCTGGTACCTTGTTAAGAAAAATAATTTTTTTGCATATTTCTTCGGCAATTCAATTTTTGTCTTCTGCTTTGAGATGGGATCAAATTATATTGCGCAGTTCAAAAGTTCTATTTCTGATTGTTCCACAATATGATTGTAAAGTTCTATTAAGGAGATGTCCATTGCATATTTGTATTTTTTATATTTAATTTAATTATTTTTCTAATTATTTTTGTTTTCACAACTCAAAGTATTGCTTCAAGGAACAAAGAGCACCAATTTATGTTTTTACTGTGAAAATATGTATAAAATTGTATATATATATACGTAAAGTGTGTTTGTAATATAACTAAGAATGGTATTTTCAGTAAATATTTAAAAATTTGTTTATTTTTTCTTTATTGTCTACTTTGAAACGTCATATGAAAATCGTCATATCATTTCAATTTTAACAATGCGTTAATACTCGTATCTTCTGTGTTGATGTGTACACATTCAGGCTACTGCGACATTCGCATTCATATTGAAAAACCCACTGACGGTAAAATAATAATAAAAACTTAAACATAATAAAATAACTAGAAAAGATAATACAAATATGCATTTTATCTTTTTTGGCGAAATAACTTTAATATTTTTATTATTTTTAATTAGTTACAATTTGCTTAATACATTTTTGTAATTCTATTGAAATTTGTTAATACTTCTATATACGATTTTTAAAGAGCTATACCTTATATGCACTTCTATACACGCAAATATACTATGAATATGCACTGCAAATACATACCATAAACCCTTTGTTCTGAGTATGAAAATACATTTAATTAAATTTGATTAAAAAAGATCAGACAAAACTTCAGATTCAGAAAGATTTAGAAACCCAAAATATAAAGTAGATGTTTTAGTTAAAATTATAATTACGATCAGATTTTCAGTGATTATCCTCGAAAAAGAAATTAGCAAAGTCAAAGCTTCATATTTTCACTAAATGTCATATATTTAATATTTGTATGGAAAAATAGTTGGCTTTGACTTTACCGAACCTCTGATATGCTTCACACAAATACCTTATTTACTATTTACTTGCTAAATTTATTTCAGTTACTGTTTGAAAATATTTTAAGTCCATTCATTATGCTGTACATAACTAAATATTTAACAACATATGCATATTTGTCATAGTTATATCGCTAGGGAGATATGTAAATAATTAAACCCTACCTATAATTTGTCTATTTTCACTACATGTCATTGTAGAAAACTTCATTCATTTATTGCTAGAACTATGAGACTAGTTTGCTGACATCCAGATAGGCAGAAAGACAGACAGATATAGTTAAATTGATTCATATTTTTCGCTGGTCAAGTATATGTATAATGTATATGATATAATAACTCCATAGGAAACGGATCGATCATCGAAGAGATCTCTGACGCATGGACGCATAACTACAGACTAATCGATCCAAATGTATGACGGTCTTCGAAGACCTTTTGCGTACATGTATAGAAGAATGGATGCGTCCATGTCTTGCATAGCGCACGTAAATTATTCTGTTGAAAATAGTGTGCTCTTAGCGAAGACAAAGTCTTCGAAGACGAGTTTTGCAACTGGGAATAAGAATGTGTAATATGGATATGTATACTATGTATATATACGAAGGCGGTTTGATAAGTTAGTGACTTTTTGAATAAAAAAAATTTTGTTCGGCAAAGAAACATTTTATTTTTCTACATACATAATAATTAGCTCGATACATTTAGTCCAGCGTTTTTCTAATTTTCTTATTCCCTCCAAACAATAGGTTTTGTTTCGGTAATGACTTCTTCATTCGACTCAAATCTCTTACCGAAATAATAGTACAGAAAATAGTCGCAGGGCGCAAAATCTGAAGAATATGCTGGATGGGATAGCAGTTCGTATCCCAATTCGTGGATTTGGGATCGTAATGCTTAATCAGCACACGAAATTCACTTTTTTTCATTTTCGTAAAAATTCACGAGGTTGTCTGCTTTAAACAGCTATCAAACACCAACTGAACGACATAGCATGCTCAAAATTAAAAAGTTGCCCATTGGTAGCTTACAGCTGAAGGCAGTAATCTTGCACTGTTGCATTTGGAGTAACTGCGCGGGAAATTCAAAAAATCACTGACTTTTCAAACCGCCCTCGTAGTATGTGTAGTGCAGTTAGTTAATATTTTTTGATACTCACATATTTTACAAATGATGGATTATCTGATCAGAGTTTATGAAATAATTATGTTGATATAATATATTTGTATAAGAGATTGACTATTGTATTATGCATGTTAATATATAAGGGCACTATTATTCTTATATTTTCAAATATGGTATACCTATACGGTCTCCATCGTATTAAAATTTTATGTATATACTTAAAATATAAAATTTGAAATTTCTTGATTGAGTTAGAATCCTTAATACTCAAAACGGAGTAAAAGTTTTACTGATAGCGATAAATGAACTAATAAGTCAACAACCCTGAGAAAAAATATTTCAACTGAAATAACATATGGGTTCGTTTACGTACACGATCCTTTAATTGTGCACCTTTTTTTATAAAGTGCTTAAAAATAGAAATTTTTCTGATTGCATTCAAACAACTTGCATTTTGTGAATGCTTTTATATGTATTCCAATTTGATTAATTGTAGTTCTCTTCCTGTTGCTGAAGACAGCAAACGGAAAACAGTGGAAGTATTAAGTCAGTGATATACTGAAGGAAGGAACTGAGAATAAAATGTTTGGATTGGATTAAACTAAAATATTTGGGATTAGAGAGCTCGGGTGATGAGAAGAATGAATATAAGGCTTATATTATAAGCTATACCAACAGTAAAGAAGTTAACAACCCCAGAGCATTGAAATCACAAATCAAATAAGCTAGAAATGGAATGTGTTGCGAGACAGTTGAAGATATAGACAAAAATTTACAGAGAGGTGTTCTATTGATACGAAACTATTGTGGTTATTTTCTTGTATAAAATCAACTGATTTCTGATGTTGAAACTTCATCTTAAATTTAATTTAGTTACTTTTATCAGGGATTACTGTAGATAGTACCTCGTTGATCACAAATAGTGTCATAGGCTTTTATTTAATTATCAGCAGTTCAAAGAAAAATATCGCTACTCTTTCAATCGATTATTTTAAATTATCTACGAACTGAAATACTTGTATAATAGAATTTTATTTCATTTTAATATTTCTTTTTATTAATAGGAAAAAATATTATGCGAAAATTATTTTTAATATAAACTATATCAAAACTTCCTATATGTAAGAAAAGTACTTCTTCTCTGTTGGTATGCCACTGCGAAAGTTTTAAATTAATTTCTTGAATCAAATACACAAATATTCACTGTAAATAATATTTTATATAAATTGTTGTTTATTAAATGCTTGTTTTTTATAAAGTAAGTTTTTATTAGTTTGGCATGTAAATAAATATGTTTCAGTTCTTTATATTTATGTTAATTAATTAATTTAATAAATTACTTATAAAACTATTTCTTCAACTTAACTCTTAGACGATGAATCTGGGGAAAAATCCGTATCAGTATTACTAAGTGGCGAAGAGTCTGAATTGACATTTATCGACCATGCATACACAGAAATGGTGGTAAGTATAGAAAAAAAATTAAATTTATCATTTATCAATAAGCAAAACAATGAGTACATAAGATTCACTTATCAACTTTTCTATTCAGAGCTTTTACCTTTCATCTTTTAACTAAAATTAGATATTCCATCAGTCAAACAGTGATTTTAAGATTTTCGATAGTTTGAATAGGTTTCTATTTTGCTTTATCTATTATATTTAAATAAATTTTGTTAATATGAACAAAAAGACCTCCTAGAACTCTCCGAAGGCTCTTCAAAGTGCCATGGTACATCCGCACGAATGACATACTAAGACACCTTAAAATAGATCCGGTCAAAAATAAGGGACAGAGCTCTGAAGCTATATGCGAAAACCGACAGGATGCCCTACTTAGCACTATCTAATCTCAGAGTAATCACTAACCGCACGGGTCTGTACGCAGATGTTAGATCACTCATTGAATAATCACAAAGATTATGAGGAATACTCAAATTAGTCAGTGAGATGGGTGGGACTCTGGAGTAATCCCCCAGCCATCATAGAGAAAGAGTGTCAGATGCACTAACTCGGAAAATGCTCAACATAACATAACAAAACAAAATCGTTATTCTTGAAAATTTCCTTTTGTTTTTCTAGAAATTTCTCTAAAATTTCATATCAAATAATGTGGTTGTGCTTCTATTGTATAGAACGAGAGTCAAAAAGAACATTAGTAGCGAATAAAATAATTGGTGAAAAAAGGACCTGTTATGCTTTAAAATTTCTGAAGAAAAACTCTATATGCGTATATTCTACAGCGTGTATAAGTATATCGGAAGTATCTAAGGAATATTGGATTATAGGATGGCATGAAGCCAGGCTGGGTTGCTATATGGGAGATATCGGAACAACTGCTGTGTCTATGTCCAGTTTTATTCTGAACCAGGTTTATGTTGTTGGGCGTCATATTGACCATATATTTGTATTTAACAATACGTACGGCTGATTCTAATATGCCCAACTTTCTATCCACATTTACATGGAATGCGGAATTAATATGTATGTGAGCTTATTGAGGAGGATTTGATCCTTTTTTCTACTTCACCTATAGTTTCAATATAAAATGTTATATAAATGGTGCCATTAATAAAAAAAACACATAATTATTTAAAACGTTATTATAGTACTCATCTCAATTTGGTAAGACTTTTAAAATCTTCTTAAATATACTGTAATAAAGAATTTAATTTGCTTCGTTTCTTAATTTATCTCACTGAAAAATTTTTTTACATACAATACTGGGTTCATAGAGCCATCGTTAAAAATATATTTATAGATCCAAATTTAAACAGTACTGGTTTATATATTTTCTGGTTGATCAAGTTCTTAGTACATATTTTACATAGAGTTCAATAGGATACTTTTGCTTACCTACTCATATTGGCAAATCTGCGTAGTCGAAAAGAGATATATGTGATATATGTGTACGCAGATCTATGAGTTATGAGTTGTTGTTGTTTTAAATAGATTAAATCATTTAATCTATTTACACTGCATGACAATCGCTTTCTAGGGCATGATAACACCAGCGAAGTAATTAAGAAGTAGTTTATCTTTGCTTCTTGAAGATAATAATATTCGTACAACTCCACATCCTTGCTATTCTCTTTTAAGTGCTACGAAGTTTGATACTATAATCACAAAAATTAGAACACTCATTGCTACGAATATTTTGTATTACTAAATTTGATTGTTAAAATATGGATATTTGCAGAATTATTTTTAATTTTTACTTTTATTTTTTAGCCCGATGATTGCCTGTCAAGTTATGATCCTCATGGCTACTGCGTCATATACTCAGCAGCAGACCGTTCCAGTTTCAGCATAGCTGAGCATGTTCTACAGGTGCTCTGGACAAATCAAAATATTGCTCAAAAAGCAGTTATTCTGGTAGCAAACAAAGCCGATTTAGCGAGAAGTCGACTAGTAACTTCAGACGGTTAGTAAAATATGTATAATGGAAATATGTAACATATAATGGAATTGAACAAAATGAGAAGTATTTAAGTATAAATGTAAAGTGAAAATCCAGAACTCAATTTTAGTTTTGGTAGCTAAATCTGGAACCAAAAAATCGGTAACCTATTTTTATTAGTCATAAAATTTTGATTACAATTTGTACTATCAGTAGGTTTTTCGTTATTTAATTCAAACTTAATGGAGTCAATAGTAATAGTTTTGTAGCTGCAAAATCAAAAACAATCTTAAAAATCCATTTAAAAATATGGTGTATTGGTAACTTTTACTCACAATGATCTATGGAATTGTGGTTAACTAAACTGTTTTGTCGGAATTTTTTACTTGAACAAATATATGGAGTACATCTGCATATACTCAGAACAATAGTTACTAATTATAATATCAAACTCGCTACAATATTAAAGGGATAAAAAGAGTAGGTAACCGCTATGTTAAGCTGACGACATTATAGCTTTAAATAAATAATGTATAAAGTATGGATAATTATTATGTTTTTAAATTATTAATAAAGAATACAACTTTACTACTACTAATATTCTATATCATCAGATTTAGAACTTAGAACTTTGTCATTTTCAATATAAGTCTTTCAAATCATGAATTTTATAATAAATAAAACTCAGTATTGACTGCTAAACTAACACGATAGTCATAAGGAATAAACAACTGATTTTAAAGCTTCTAATTCCGTTTTTATGTGAACCTATTTTAAATATGTATATCATTTTTTTGACGTCAGTTTACTCAATGAATAGTCGTGGCCAAAGAAATTTTATTTAGAGGATAATATGCTTAGCGATTCAGTAATTGGGTTAAGATTGTAAAATGAAATATTAAAAAATCATGTAAAAATATACATTTAGCCCTAATACAAATCTAATCAATGAAGGACCTCAAAACCCTACTACACAGGCAAAATTCTAATATTGAAATTGAACTTGATACTAAAGTACGACTGAAAAACTATTTTGAACTATATTAGCCTAAACATATTGATCGAAAATAGTTGATTGTGACTAGAATCACTCCCTCTATACTATAACGCTTATATAATTTTGTTTACATTTATCTAACCTCTCTTTTCGTCCCATTCTATTAATTATGTCCGTATTTTATTCCATTCATATTCCGGGTATCAGAATTTAGAAGGACGTCCTTTAGTCTTGCAGAATTTCAGAAGGACTAGCTCAACAATAAATATGACTATTTAATTAGCACTGCCGAAGCACATTTATTATAATAATATGAAATATAATATATATTTAGTAATATTATATATACATTTAGTAATAATATATAATATAAAACATTGCAATATTAATTTTTTGAAATACCAAATTCATTCTTTAAAATTATATGGATGCGTAAGTTAGGACGGAGGTTATTTTTCGCATAAAAAAGAATTAGCTGTAAATAAACATGTATTAAATTAAGTTTATCTATCTATCTATTATCTATCTATTAGTTTATCTACTAGAGTATAATTTTGTATTCAAACATTTCTTTTTGTTATGTAGAGGGGAAAGCCATGGCTACTGCGTATGACTGCAAATTTATTGAAACGTCAGTCGGCATTAATCACAATGTAGATGAGTTACTTGTTGGGTTACTCTCACAAATTCGTTTAAAATTGGAAAATCCAGAAAAGTCAAGGTAAATGAATACTTTTATTTTTAAATTAGTAAAAAAAGAAATGACAAACATTTATAAAAATCGAATTTAATATACGCCTAACTATTTATTAAAAGATAAGTTTTAGAAATTTGTTAATTTTATTCAAGTTCACTTAAACTTAAACTTTAAATAAATAACCATTAAAACACTACAGCAGAAATTTTTTTTTCATTTTGCTTAAAAAAATTTATTTCGCTATGATTTTAGAGATTTGTTCAGAAAACGTTCTATACGCAAATCCAAAAAGCGGGCCTGTTCACCTTTAAGTGGCGCATGCTTAACTGGGGGCACAAATCCAAATACTCCATTGGGTCCTACAAACAATATTATGTCAGACTTAAATACTCCACCAGGAAGCGCCCAAAGCAGGTAAGTCAATTAAAGGGTAGTCCCATTTAAATATTACTCCATTAATGACATTCTTTTTTAGCCCACGCAAATATCGTGGTTCCCGCACTTCAACAAGTCTTAAAGTCAAAGGCTTACTAGGACGTGTCTGGGCACGAGATTCCAAATCAAAAAGTTGCGAGAACTTGCATGTCCTATAAACAGAATTTCTAAAAATTGTGTTATACTAGTGTGCGAAGTTGGTTTGAATGTGAATCGGGATGTGCATAAGAAAGTTTAGTTTATATCAGACGACATAATTTTAAAATATTATAATATCTATATATTATTATATATATCTTAAATTTTCGGGTATAATTGCTAGTTACTTTTAACTAGCAACAATATTTAAAGATTTTTATTTTTATATTTTTACATAAGACCTTAGAAAATAAATGATGTTTTGACTTTTATTAATAAATTTTATGTTTAATGGAACTTATTATACTGTTTTTCTTTTTCTTTTGATTAGTTTTTTATTTACACTTTAAAGAATATTAAATTTTTATTTCCTACCGCTCTTCACTAAACTTAACTAAACTATAATTCTAGAGAGTTCTAGATAAACTCACGCTCCACGAAATAAAATTAATTTGAAATTGAGGTTTAAATCTAATTGTAGTTCGTTGGTGTTATTTATACATACATATTATTTACAAACATATGTGTTTAAACTATGTATTTTATACATATAGCATATTTTGTTAATGCTAAATATTAAAATTGGGTCCATTCATAGTAAATTAGATTTAATAACGAGTTTTATACAATTTATTAGGTGTTTTATATTAAATGTATTTACATTTTAAATAGATATTTGTTATATTGGTAATAGTTTTTATAAACAAAACAAAATAATTGTTAAAGCACAAATAAAAGCATTTTTAAAGCTAAGCATTTTAATATATTGAGATTTGACACTGAAATTAATATTAATTTATATGTGTATCTTTTAATAATTAAATTAAAAATATTTATATTGGAAAAATTGAAAAGGTGTTACCTAAATAATGTAATCGATTTTATTTATTATAAAAAGCAAAAGCAATAATATATTTTAGGTCTATAAAGAAAACCAGAAAAGTTAATCCGATCTGTTATTGATTAAATAAATTGTACTGATTTTACATATATTTGCTTTTTTGTAAATTGTTAAATTAAAATTAAAAATAATTGGTGTATGTATTTTTATTAATTGTTATTAAGTGTTTAATAAAAAATTGGTAATTGGCAAAAAATTTAAGAAAATTATAAATAGAAATTATAGAATAACAACAAAAGAACAAAGAACAAATATTTAAATTTAATATAACACTCAATTTGAAATCAAAAAATCGGTATTATTGAAAAAATTATTATATTCAAAATATGAGACTAATTAGTATTCCACACGTATTTATATGTAGAGTATATTTGAAACAGAAAAAAAATATGGTCACAAGAAAATAACTTAATTACTAATATTATTATTTTGCCATTAATTAAAAAAGTTTAAATAATTTTTATTACTCGTGAAAAAGTATTTATTCTCTTAATCAGAGCATAGAGTATAGAGCGATTATAGACAAAAATAAGTGCATTTAAAAAAAATACCAAAAAATAAATATGACAACCAGGCCTTCCAAAAGATTTCGATATAAATTTCATATGAATTTTTGAAAGGTTCAGTTTTTATTTTAATATTTATAATTATTATTAATCACATATTTACAATAAAAAGAAATTATATATATATAGTACATAGAATTAAAGTTTAACACTTGCAATACAAAAAATTATATGCAAAATATAAAAACCTAAAAATATTTCCAAAGATCAGTAAAATAAAACATCTACTGCTGTATTTTCTTACTATATATCCCTTTTCACAGATGAATTTATTTACAAAATTGATTATTGAAGGATTTCCAGTTATCTATCTTTGTTCCATGCTATTACTTATAATTCGCTAATCATTATTTCCGTTTCTTGGTAACTATTCTATGTCAGGTCGTTTCGTTCTACCTCTTGACCTTTCATGTTTAGAATGAATTCATAAAATATTTCATTCAAGTCTCTTTGTAATCTGTAGCCCTATCACATATGTGGAACATTACTTACTGTACTGTAGTGCTGTTTATTCTCTAGACAGCGATTGGTTTTCACCTAATCGTGATTGCGACATACCCTATTTAATATTAGGAATAGGAATAAACAGGGTATCAGCTCCCAACGAAGTGGAGCACTGCGACCATAGTTAATTTTTGTGCTGCAACAGACCCTAACCGAACTGAAAGCATTCCGGGTTCCAAATGAAAGTCAGAATGTCGGCCGTTGAGGACATTCTGGACATTCTTGTTAATGTCAGAAGGGGAGAGTAGGTCACGACCCAGTGACCTCCTCTTGGCTCCGAACAAGGCTGGGCAGTCACAAAAAATTTGATTTAATATTAATTAATAATATTATAGTTTATAATATTATTAATAATATTTATAAATCGCTTATCTGTAAATAAGAATCAAAAATTCTTCTATTGATTGATTATGAAATTAATTTACGTTATGATTCAATTATCATTTGGTTTTCAATGTAAGTTTAAAATTATATTATGAGATAAACTTTTTATTTGGCCTCCAACCATAGTCGACACTTAATAAGTGGTTAAGTGAATGTTGGAAACTTATATTCTTAACATTTGTTCTCAAAAGATAACAAGCGTCTTGTGTAAACAAAGACATCATTGTCAATATGTCACTGTAATCTTGACATTATATATATGTCAAAAATATAACACGTCTTTTGATATATGTATGTATATTTTTTAAGTATAAAATACAGTGTATTAGTAATTAAATGAAATAAACGTAATGACTATGTGCTGGGCTTGCACAACGTCACTTGTCGACGTTCGCCGGTAGACTGATCCCCTTTACTTTTGACATGTACTATAAATGTAAGTAATTGGAAATAAACGATATTAACACCCTATATTTTAATAATTTTTACAGTTTCGAAACTACATTTCATGTTAATATATCTTCTATTAATTTATTACTAGTTTATATATATGGTATATATGTTTATGACCATGCATAGAAAAAGAAATTTTGTCTGCCATATCAGTATATCAGTACTTCCTCAAATTTTAACTCTGGGTAAATAAAAATTAATAAGGAAATTAATCAAATATTTTTTAACCGTGGTGTTACTGAAAAAAATATAATTTGGTTAATTAACAGGAACAAAAACATATGGGGTACTTAATCCTTGATTTTGATTTTCCATTGCTTTTTTTCTGGAGATAAAATAGTCGTCGAATACTTACTTTTATAATTCGTTGATTTCTTCAACAAAATTACATATAATGCAGTTTCGTTGAAACCAGTTGCCGTCCAGGGCATGGAAAATATATCGTTGTTCATGGGTACTTGAGTAGTTTCGAAAATGATCAAATCATTAAACTATATTCCATTGCTTTCAAAGAAAAAACACAAAGTAAATCACATCAATTACTAGTAAAAAATTCAGTCAACCAGTTAGTTCAGTGTAAAGAAAAAAGAATATTTAAGTTACATATTTTAGCAAAAATTATATATGAAACGGTAATATTAACAGAGACTGTTTTATATGGGTCATTATCTGTACCTTATCGAATTAAAGGGTTTTAAATTTTGATTCCAACTTTTGTTTGAAAATATAATTAATTCTAATTTATATAATACAACAACTTACTATGTATAAAACCTATAACTATCGTATATTGAAGGACAGCAGTTAAATGATACCAAAATTATTGAAAAAATAATTAAATTATTAATTATAAATTATGTTTTAAAAGGTAAGGCAACAGAACATTGTTATATTCCCTCCTCAGCAAAGCTGTAATTAAAAAAAAATGTCTTTAAATTATTGAAGAATTGATTGAAATTGAAAATAAATAAAGGAATTCCTAAAATTGACTCACATTTCTAGAGTTATTCCATAAGATCGCATCACTGCATAAAATCGATTACTTTCCGTATTTTCTCTGAATAATGTGTATGTCAGTCGCATTTCATATTTCTTAATTGGTCGTTAGGACTTTCTTTTTTTACATATAAGACTTTGTATCAAGTATCTTTCTTTTGAATTTTCCACTTAGTTTTTATTCATTCTACCTTCTCAATTCTTTGCTCTTAACAGAGCGCGATAACGTATTAAAAATGTACATTTTTTGTTTTGTAGCTCCATGTTATTGTTTGATCTTGAAGCAATGTATATCGTTTTACTCATGGTTTTTCCAAGAAACGGTTGTAACTTTAATTGATCAACCCAACGTGTAGGTTGGGTTGACGATCGTCCTCGTCGTCTGCTTCCGCTACGTGATCAAAGTAGATTAAATATGAGTTGATAATCATTTCCATAAGTCTGGTCTTTATATTTTATTTTTCCAGTACAGAAACACTCTTCTATGGACCCACAGTTCGAAGGCCTCAATCCTCTGTCTGTTCAATTTTTTATGGTTCATGCCTCAGTTGCATTGATAGCTATAAGAAATACCAAGGCGTTTACAAGACGAAGCTTTCTAGATTTTGTTATAGTTCTGTCTTGCCATATTTTTACGACGTTTATTTTCTTCAAAGCACATATATATATACATATAAACATATATACTATATATAAAAATCTGTTTCATATAACTGAATTTAGTTAATATGAATCTACTTTATAGTAAAATGGAATTAATTTTGAATGTATTAGAGGGGGTGTTCAATTTCAACCTGTTCAAATACTTGTCAGACGATTTAATAAAACTTTCATGATATAAGAATTTTATCTTTGACACACTTTGCTCAAATTTGCTTGAAGCGATATTAAATGAAGTTCCTTAAATTTTGCCATTGAAATAGTCCTGTCCGATTGATTTTAATGGACACTAAAGAATTAAACATAATAGAATTTGTTTTTAAAAATCAGTTATATTTGTAACTAAAATCGTATTTACCCAAGACGAAATCGCGGATTTGTTTTAAAGTGTAGCATGCGAACAATATGAACCATATAAGGAATTAGTATGAATATGAATTTAAAATAACAGTGTGGTCAGGTATATATTTTATATCTACTACTTCCACAATATAACTTTTTCCCGGTCCAATAAAATCATTTGAAACGAATTCATTGAATACTAAATTTTTTTTTAATTTCTCATTTTAAGAAAATATTATTCAATAAAAAATGGGAGTAGTTGAAATAATTTGTAAATGCTCTGTTCCAATTATTATGATCTGTTGAATATATTAATATACACCTTTTACTTGCATATAAACCCTAACTAGGGACATCACCAATCCTTTAAAGTCAATTCTCACTAAAACTCGCAGTTCGGAAATGTACGTTTTTGTAAGATGTAAGGTATTATAGAAGGAAAGAAGTTCCATATATTAAATGTATCTAAATGTTTGTTATAATGAGAATATTACTAAACAAAATGTATTTTCTGTATTTAAAATAAATGGAATTAAAACTAAAAAAAAATGTTCTTTTTATAAATATTAATTTTTTTAATTATAATACAATAAGCGACGGTTTTAAAAGAATGGAAATCATTTATATAGTCTCTTCCAGCGCTTTGGAATAAAAATTTTGTGCGTTGAAGTCTCAGCAAGACTACAATGTCATTTTTTGGTATGCTCGAGAGAACACCATCTAGCATACTATAAAAATTATCCTTATCCACAGGCTCACTCTCTTCTGTTGGAGCATAGCATTGGATGAGTGATATGTTAAATTTTTTAGCTCGTAATCGTACGGTTATGATCCTTTCGGAGTGCAATTGCCAAGATATGACGTTCGGCATGCCTGAATAGATTATTAAATTACTTTGATTGTTTAGTAGTTTTCCGCAACTAAATAAGTAAAGTTGTTAAATTATTTTGACAATATTTAGTAAATTATTTTTAAATTCAAAAAAACTAAATCTTTATGATTCACAGTGTCTAATTAGGTTTGAGGGTGTCCGATTTTGAAAAGAATGGCCTCCATATAGTATATACCATATTTTAGGTCATGCAATATAACGTAACAGTATCCAATTTAGCGTTACTTCTGAAATTTGTTAAATTATTTGTCTGTCCATATAAGTTAGTATAGAAAGATTTGGTTTTTACATTCACATAACTATTAACAAAAATGAAACATCAAAATAAATAATTTTTTCAAATTTAAATTGTAATTGTATATATATTTTTAGAGGTTATTTTTGCAAAACAACAAAAGAACGCTTTAAATTTTTATTATAATTTGAACTATTTTTATCAGAGGTGCTTCACTTTGGTGGGATTCAACAAATTATAAAGATTATTTACATTCTAATTGCAAAACATAGTTTTTTTACGATCTTAGAAGAAATGGAAAAGAAATGTCAAAATCTATTTAAAACAATATTGAAAATTTGAAAATGTCGAAGAGACTGAAGATTTTATTAAATTTGTTTAATAATAGTTTTGTACATAATTATAAATAAAATTTGTTAAATTATTGTTACAAAACTATTTTAATTAAATGATTTATTTACAAAAATTTATCAAACACACAAAACAAAACATAACAAGAGGAATGTCAAAATTAATCTCCAATGTATAATGTAAACGGTGGAGATTAAAAATGTAGATCAACTTGAACTCGTTCTCGTTAATCTCGATATTTATATTGTTAAGGTTTTTTACGGTATTTCATTTAATAAGAATGTGTTTTTCTCTCGTTATCTTACCACTAACAATTGCAGCTTGTGTGAAATGCTCATACAGTAATGCATTTTTATATGTAAGATCCACTGTATATTAACTCACAAAAGTATGCCGAACCAGACTCCGCGCGCAAAGGTATGCAATACTTTTAGGTTATTTAAAGTCTCCGCTCTTTACTTTCTTAAATTTAAATTTTAAATAATTGGCTAGACCGTAGAAATACGAAGATCGTATTAGAATGAAATGATCGAAATTTCTTCGTATCTACATAAGGTTTTCAATAGCTTGGCGAGTGGTTTGATTTTCCGGTCAACCAACATTTGCAATAATAAGATAATGGCTGACTTTTTTTTTTTAACAATTATCAAATTATTTAAATTCTAATTTGCATTACTTACTTACTTACTTATGTGGCCATAACAACCCGTTACCGAGTTTCGGCCTGACGCAGCATGTCTCCCCAGGCGCCTCTAATTTGCATTATTAAGTCTTAATTAAATTAAATTCATTTTTATTGGTTGATATTGCAATTTAAATGAAAGTTACCCATGCAGGAATATACATGATCCAAATAAACATAAACACGTACCGTGTTAAATCGGTATCGTGTTTTACAAAATTTTTTATTTGATCATTTTAACTATAATATAATGTATATATAATTAAATATAATTAAAGTTTAGATAGAATGTAATATGAGGCATTGTCTACAGTATTGTATGGAAACTTATTTTGTTTTACATTGAAACGTGTCACACAAAACTTTACAGCAATAGACGTGCTCGGTACATCGATAAAGTGATAAAATTTAGTGTGTTATTGTTTTTGTGAAACTACATCGTTACCGAGTTGCCGAAATAACGAATCAACGAATTATCGAGACATCAGGTCCTAGAATTTTTTGCGTATTTGGTAAAACATCATCTTATTCTTATTGAAATATTACAAAAAAAAAAAAAAAAAAAAAAAACAAATATCGATGGAAATAAAAGTTATATAAAAAACTTTTCTTTTTTCCAATTTTTATGCTAAATTCTTGTTATTTTGGCAATCAGCTACTTCGGTAGCTCAATTTTATCAACTTTATCCAGAAACCTTACCGTTCAGACGTTTGTCATTTTATCACTGTCCCGATTATTGTATCATCAATTCATCGAGCAATGTTTGAATTTCCTTAAGGTAGATCAATACATTTTGTACTATTTTATATCGAAAAAAAGTCTTAATATATAAATTTTTTCAATCGGTAGAGCTTTTTAAATAGAGTATATATGTTATATATATTTATATAGAGTATATATGTATTTTTCATTCAACTGAAAAAATAATTGGTCTGAAAATAAAAAGAGACTTTTCATTCAAAAAACCAAATTATATATTTTGTTAAAATACAAGCAAAAATATTCAACAAAAAATGCAATTCTAATTCAAAAAATAATTATAATTCTTTTAAAAAGTTGATTTTCGTTATCATTATCATCAAAAACAGCAGCTGATCTGATTTTTTTTCCAAATTGGAAAATACTATAATACTATTCTCTTATTGAATCTTTGTTATGCAAGCACCGTGTTATATGAGTGATATCTATATTATGATAGACAAAGTTTATATATCATAAAATAATATATAACCTATAAAAATTAATATTTACTTCTTCGGTTGGTTATATTCTATAATGTATTTATAATTAAACTTCTTGCTAGTAGATAAATTTATATATCTATATATACTTTTATAAGGTAAAAGTTCAAGGTATGTATCACGCGTTTTCTCTACATTTAGAAAGGAATTTATCTCAAGTATATACGAGAATTTCGAAATATTAAAATGACTTACTTCTCCGTAATGGGGAGTTTAGGACTCACCATTTCGTGAAGGATGTGACAAATAAAGTACTCAACAAAGGTCTTCAATTCGACTCATTTCATCATATCCATAAACCTTATATACTGGCTACATATAGTCCCGTTTAGTTTTTCTTTTTCGGAACTTGCATTTGCATTTTACAAAATCCAATTTCTTTATAAAAGACCATTTGTTGTAGATATTATTCAAAATTTCTAAAAAATGCATTTCTATCGAACTCCATAAAGTTGAAATGCATTATGTATATAAGTATTTCCACTTTTATCAAATTTGTTAACAAATTCGCTAAAACTTATAAACAACGGTTGGATTATATGTCAACGTTGAAGCTTCAGCATTACTTCAGGCGATTATTCAGTACCATGATTATTTGTGGGGGTTTTAAGCAAGTCTCTCAATATCTTATGTATTCCTGATACATCTTATATGCGTTATATTTAAATGAATCCAACAAAATTTCTTTCTAATATTGTGTCATCTGTCTGCCCTGTGGAAATGATTTGCAAATGAAATCGAAATAAAAACTATGACAAAGTGTTCTTTTCATTTAGTTATCGATTTTTTTTATTTTTTCATCTCAGCATATTTAAATACATATCATGAATTCTGAATTATATTGTATAAAATAATCCTATATAGACATATAAATAGATATTAATTTTGAAAGTTTCCGCAGTGTTTTGGCAGTACAAACAAATTTAAGGCAGTAATAAAAAATAATACGAGATTTAAAGTTGCGATTAGTTAGAAGTAGACTTAGCAAGCTAAAACACAAAATTGCGTTAGTATCAGATTTTGCATTTTCCTTTTATAAGGGCTTAATATCAATAGAAGTTGCTACAATTAGAGCTATCGGTTTGGTAAAACTCTTAGATTAAGGTAACTTAGATTTATAATAATTATAAACATTGGGCCATGCTGCCAAAACATATTCTTCAATGCCGCATTCATTTTCGCCTCGTAATATGCGGAAATATCCATGTTCACCCCACCATGGTCCCCATGAATTGGCTGCAATCTAAACATCAACCCAAAAAATAAATAACAGAGTTTAGAGTTTAGTTTATCTGTATTCGGATTTTTAGACTAACTTACCCAGTATTTAATACCATTATGTTCCTCACCCCAACCTACTAATTTGACTGAGTGGAACCCTGTTTCGCTACCGCGACTAGCACCTGTATGTCGATATATTCCACCAGAATAAGCGAAAAAGTCTCTATAAATACGCATTGTGGCTTGCACTGGACCAGAATGGAATATTTCAGCCATAATATCAGTTTCATTATTCAGTGAATATGCAGGA